ACTTTCTTTAGGATAACCTACTAGTAGGATGTTATTTACCTTAGACTCCCATTTTGTCCATATATTATTCTCTGATGAGAATATGACAACTCCAGATCTCCAAGCGTCATACACTTAATTTTCTTCATATCCATGTCTAATATGGAGTGAAAGAAAAAGATTTGGCAGGAATTCTACATAATAAATAATATGCAATCTCCAATGCATAACCTATTAGAAAATAAGAACAGGTTAATGCCCAGCATAAACCTAACCATATCGAATAAGGTTTAGTTCCATCTTTCAGACAAATAATTAGGAGTGATAAATTAGTAGATGTCAAAGTACTAACAATTCCATTTTGTTCATAAATCTCTTAAATTCCTAAAATTAGGAACTTGCCATCTGGATCAAATCAGATGATTTTGATACTTTTATCAAACTCCTCTTTAACTTCAATAACATTCTAATTTATGATGCAATCACATAAATATTTAACTATTGCTTTAACATTTAAAGGATCATATACATCTGAATGTATGAAGTCAAGAGTACGCAAGAGCTTTAGCACTATTTTAGAAAAATAGTTTGGTCATATGTCTCTTAGAAAATATTTACAAGTTGAGAAATATTCTAATTTAGAAAAATCAAAGGACTATCCTTTATCAATTTATTGATCTTATCAACATTAACATGACCTTGTATTTTTGTGCCAAAGATAAGTTGGATTACCTTGATCCAATCTATATTTTAAGAGATTTATCAATTCCAATAACATTACATTACATAAGAGTTAAGGGTGGCAATCATGAAAATAAACAGTTTTAATTTCATAATTATCAACAAAGCAATTTCTAAACTTTTAATAGAAATTCTATTTTACAAGAAAATAGAAAATCACTACAAAAAATTTACAAAATAGAAATCAAATTTCTTCTAACTTTAAGAAACATTAAGACAATCTTTAAATTTTATTTCATGCCCTTCATTCAAAACAGAAACAAATTTCTTATTATTATTATTTTTATTTACAATGCTGAAACTAGAGCTTTTATTTTCATTGTCAAAGTTAAGCTTTTCATGTACTCTTACAACAAATTTGTAAGTATGTAAAGATAAACTAGAATGAATACATCATATATAAAAATCATTCACATTAGTAGACTCTACTAATCAATGGGTGAACTGTCTTCAAAAGACATTTCTTTATTAAGTGACATAATGTAACATTTACAATTTTCTTTTCTAATGACTTTCATTATTTAAATTTCCGCTTCATGTTTAGAAATCTATTTTACTTTTTAGATTTCCCTCTTAAGAAAATTTTCTTTTCTTAATACTGGACAATCCAGTTCGATATCCATCATTATGGATTTAACCTGCTTAATAATATTCTTTTCACTTTTTCTTTAACAAGTTGTTCAATTCTAATACAATGGTAGTTAAATTAAACAAGGAGTGAGATTAGGAAGTAAATATCACATCAACGTTTGATTTCGATCTTAACTTCCAACAAATCTAATTTGTCAATATATATCAAAACATCATATGAAAATATATATCTGTTTTCATCTTATGAACATTACTTTTATCATTATTATCTTTAAGCAGGATTATGATTGATGATCTTTATCATCAGTTACATCTGGTTAAGCGGGTATGTCACCTTAGACAATCATAGGCCAAACATTCAGCATTTGAAAATTAAATAGATTTCTTTTCCAATCCAACAGTTCGGGCTATCTAATTTATAATCATTCAATAACATATCAAAATGACAAAATTTAGTCATCATGTACAAGCAGAATATAATAACACAAATATTGTAAGTTATTATTTTATTATTGCACAATCATTACAGGGATATTTTAAGTAATGATTTCACATTTAACATTTCTCTCATTTATTTAAATGTGAACAGGAAATCCAAGTTTAATTATAAACCTCCAGATTTTCAAGATCGAATATAATTAAACAAGGTAGAATCATCTATTCAATCATTAACAATTAACGATTTTCCTTTAAATTTTGGTCTTTGATGTAAGATGTGCCCCACTATTTTAGCGAGCACCCCAAGACATCAATGAAGTGTTAACCCATCAATCCAGCTATTTTATATAAAACAGGTGGCACTACCTATTTTAGTCTAGTGGTCCCATTATACATAAAATACTTGGCATCCTTATGCGAGGTATAACTAGATAATAAATTTTAACAAACCCTATCCTTTGTGGCATCAGATAAGTTAAAAAATTATTATCTAAGTTATATCTCTATGATGGAAGACCTTTAGATTTATATTTCTTAAAAAATTAATCTATCTACACTTCTATACAACTTTTGTTATTTATTATAACTGAGAGAAAATAACAACAGTCAATTTCTAATAAATTCTAAACTGTCTTATTTAATAAAACAAATTCAGAACAATTCTGGACCTTACAGTAATTTTTCATGTATTACTTTAATCACATGAATTATTGAATTTAAACAATTTAAAATCAACATGATCATATCACAAGTATAATACAAATAATATTTCAGAAATATACATGATACAATATCATTTCTAACAATTCACTAAGAGTTAGATAATCTTTTCAACAAAGGAAACTAAACTATACATGCATATGGACTTTTGAACAAATTCTGTAAGTGCTAGGGACTAATCAAAAATTAGTCTATATATTCAGATGGATCTTAAAACAGTTTCAAAATCTATCAGGAGGGTGAAGCTAATTTCACATCAAAATTAATATACTAGTAGACTCAGAACAATTTCTGGATCAAACAGGGGTCTGTAACTAATTTTACAGTTATTCATCAATACTGGTGGACTTCAAAACAGTTTCTGAATCAAACAGGGGTCTGATAGCAATTCATCAATATTCACAGACTCCAGAACAGTTTCTGGGTTTTTCAGGGAGCTATAACTAATTTGATAGCGTGTTTGAGAACCTGATGGACTTCAGAACAATTTCTGGATCAATCAGGGGTCTAATAATAATTTTACAGTAAAATTCAAATTATCAGGGTTTCGGGTTTGAGTTCTGTTTGCGGGTCAAACCCGTTTCATTAAACTTAAGTCTTAATGGGTTTGGATACATAACCCTTTATGAAAATAACCCATTAAGATCATCTTCTTCAATGAAGACCTAGGGTTAGGGTTTTGCTATAATTGTGGGATAGCCCACCACCACCAATTGTCCGGCGGCGGCGGCGGCGGTGAGCCCACCGCGGCCGGCGGGGCAACCGCACCGGCGGCCTATCTCCGGCGACCATCTCCGGCGATCAACCTTTTTTTTTTGTTTAATATTGTTGTGAGATCAAATCTCAACTCCGGTCATCTCCTCCTCCGCCGCCCATCCAATAGGCCACAACTACATTGATAAAGTAATTATAACAATTTAAAAACTCTATTTAGATCAAATCTAACAATAAGCTAAATATTACAACAATTGAAAAAGAAAAATTCTTTGATCTAATCATAAGAATTTTAACCCATAAACAATAACCCACTATTGTAAACATTGATTTCAGGTTATGAACAGTACCCACTCCGGCAGTGAACAGTGTTCTCGGCGATGAACAGTACTGCCGATCCGTGAACAGTAACCCCGGAAAATGAACAGTGTTTCCGGTGATGAACAATACCGCCGGCCGTGAACAGTGTTTCCTGGCCGTGAACAGTACCCGGACTTTTCAACCATTTTTTTTTTCAATTTAATCCAATTAAAAATGTCAAAATAGATCAAAATAAGATAATTTAATCCGATTAAATTATTACAGATTGGATTCTGAACCCGCTCTGATACCATTTGTTGGAATCATGACATACAACGCAGCGGAAAAAGCATATCATGACTATTAATCAAAATTAATTAAATATTAGAAGAATACCTGAAACGCTTTCCGAATTTCTACAATAATCTGTCCCGAGATCAATCCAAAATAGCTTCCTCAAGAGAAAAAGCCTCCAATTGAAATCCACCCGTCACCGTAGAGGAGCAATACTGAGAGATAGGTTCTCAAAAATCTATTTCTTCATATTATCTTCATAAGATTTTGAATCTCTTCTCTTAACCTCTCATAAGGCTACATATGAACCCTATTTATAGGATTACACTAGTCTTAGAGATTTTAACTTTAAACAATTCATAATTATCTAGAACTCTATCCATAACAATTAAGGATAGAATAGATTTGTTCAAAAACTTTATCCATAACAATTAAGGATAGAAATAGATTTATTCAAAAACTTTATCCATAACAATTAAGGATAGAAATAGATTTATTCAAAAACTTTATCCATAACAATTAAGGATAGAAATAGAATTGCATTGCATGTATACCTCTTCTAATGACATTAGTGAGACCAATTGGGTCCCATATCGAGAACCAATTATTAATCAAATTAATAATTTTAATTTAACAATCAAATCCCTATCCGACCAATTGTTCATAAAAGCTCTTCCATAATATGGGATTAATTATTAATAAATAATATCTTACATTCAATCCCTTCCAGTATCATTTATTCTAGGCAACTCTTTTAAGTAGGACAACTCACCTATTTGCTCATGTCTAAATTTGCAATTCCCATGAACATAAATAAAAATTATTTTGAAACATCAAAATATTTTATTTTTTATAAGAAAATAAATTTTGTAAAAATATTTTCAAAGCTACCTGCCGGCAGGAATTTAATAGCTTCATGGGAATGCATAATAAATTAACTCATCATAATGAGCATACTGGATCCTATCTAGACATCCATCATTTTCCTAAATGAAATTTAGCAACCCAATGTTTCAGGTTGTGTAGCGCTTGCTAAACAAGCTTAACCATCACATCAAAGCATACTAAATTATCAAATCGAAAATGATAATATCATCAAGTCAAAGGGACCATGTAACAATTTGAACTCTCTATCTCTTAGGTGACTCATCCTAAGGTGTCCTCAAGATGAATTTGGTTTATGCACACATGAAAACCAATGGAGAATATTTACCTTACTCAGGTTTGTGCTTTTCTCATCCTTTTCAGAGCATAGCACCAACGAACTGAGATTAGCAATTTTCTTTGCTTGCTCTGCTAGCCTCCTCTCACGATGAGCTCTGTCTTTCTTTTCCTCTTCCAACTCCAGAGCTATTCTCTCTTTCTCTAGCTCACTCTAGAATTACCTCAACTTAGTAAGAAGATGCTACAAAATTAAGATGGGAACAACCAAATTAGAACAAGGCAGGCTATCACTGACCTTCAATAGTGTGTTTCGAAGGTTCAAGATTTCTTCCTCGAAGTGCTCTGAATGAGAGGTCTAGGCACAAAACCATAGAAAACAATTGATGCTCTTAGTGAATAATAATAAGCACATTCTGGAACAACAAAAGGTCATCATTCAACAAACTTCCCAAGGTTCGCCAAATCCAAGCTCATAAAACAGATCAATCCTACCACATGCAACACTACAAAGGTTTAAAGCATTTATTACTAAGAACTTGTAGCCTTCATACGGATGGATTTTGCTCTTCAGAATAACTTCCACTCATCTTTTTTGTTAGAACCTTTGATAGCAGACTATTACCTCCCTCCAGTGATCTAACAAGCTACAATATGACGCTACAAAAAAGATGAGTGGTAAATTTTCAACCAGTAACAAACAATGATCCAAATTCGTATGGATGTCCATTTCCAGAAAAACTAAGACCATATCAAAGTTAGTGTAAATATATAGCAAAAAATATTGAATAGACTTAGGATTTTAAGTTTAACTGATCATAACACGGATTAAAAGTTGAGGTGTCTCTAACACTAGATTTGCAATCTTATCTGCTATCTCTTGATCTAAATTGCAGCTTAGATGTTCAAATTTTCAAAATCATAGCTATCAAATTCAAGCATTCATTCGCAACCCAAAAAAATTCACCAAAGAAAAGAAACATTACCTAGCTGGTCCAGTTCAAAAAATAAAGGCTCCACCCCAGTCCTCCTGAACAGCGATTTCACCTCCATTGAGTAACTTCAATCAGCAGCCGCCGCAGCCACTTCACTGGTGAACGGCAAAGGAGCAGTTGCAGAAGTCGCTGTCTCGATGGCTGATGATGGATGCTGCCGGCGAGGTCCTTCAAAAAGTTCGTAGCTTTGAAGTAACATTTTGTAAAACTTGGAATTGGAGAAATTGAATTAGGGTTAGGGCTTTGATCGGTTACCTTGATGAGAGAGGGAATTCGAATCGAGGAGGGAGGGGATGGGCCGATGGCCTTGATGCTAATCTCTACTAGGAAGGGCAAAGCTTGAGGGCGAGGGAGTGGAGGGTGCGGGCGATGGGGAGAGGGGAGGACTCTTGAGTGCGGAGGAGAGGATGTAGGAGTTCGGGAGGGGGTTCGGTGAGGAGGCGGGAAAGGTGGTGGAGGCCGTGGAGGGAGAGGGAGTAGGGGAGGGCGGTGTCGGGGGTGACGTTGAGTAGGGAGAGGGAGAGGAGGAGGAGGGGGGAGGTGTTGGAGTTGAGGATTTTTTAGGGGGGAATGGAGGGTAGCGGGGGTTTCGATTTTGGGGATGAAAATTTTGATTTTGGGGTGAATGGAGTGCAGCGGGGGTTTTGACGGGTTAATTTTTTTTTTAAATGGGCAAATATCCTAGACGGAAATTTTCGTCTAGGATACATTCTAGACGGAAATTTCCGTCTAGGATATCGGGATTTTTTTTAAAAAAAATTTAAAAATAAAAAAACCGTCTAGGATACTATTCTAGACGGAAATTTCCATCTAGAATGCATTATCCTAGACGGAATATTCTAGACGGAAATTTTCCGTCTAGTTTAATACATTCTAGACAGAAAAAATTCCTTCTAGAATATTCCGTCTAGGATACGTGAAATTTTACTAGTGAGAAGTTTAGAACTGATAAATATCTTTGAAAGAACTAGTGCTCAGACAATGGTAATATTGGGTGAGTATATATTTTTACCCAAATACCTGATAAAATGAGTTAATCTACAATATATATAGATAACTAGAGGGTTAGTTTAAAAATTGTAGATAATATATCTTACTCTAAACCGCCCTATCATTAAAATGGTTGGTTCTGACACTACTACAAAACAGGCTAGCCCCAATGGTTTAAACTATTGGGGCAGATAGTAACCCCAACTGTTGAAACTGTTGGGGCAAAAACGATTATTTTAGCAGCACCAACGGTTATATCCATTGGTGTTGATAGTTTTTTAATTTTAATTTTTAAAATATAAAAACCCAGCACCAACGATTGAAACCGTTGGTGCATATGCCAGCACCAACAGTTGAAACTGTTGGTGCATCTTGATGTACCAATGGTTTCAACTATTTGTGTTATTGTTTGCACTAATGATTGAAAACGTTGGTACAAAAACATGCACATCTCGTGCACCTTATCAGCCCCAATGGTGTGAACCATTGGGGCTGAGCTATATCATCCCAAACAATCTCCAAACCTATCATTTTCCCCCTGTATAAGTGTGTAAAATAATCATACCTAAAAAAAATAATCAACTTGTTCACAGCAATATTCTCATACAATTATACAACCAAAAACATAAATATGTCATAAAATGAATTCAAGATCCTAACATCATACGCAATTATAAGCCAAAACAAAAAATTTACTAAAATAAAATGCCTTCTAGAATATTCCGTCTAGGATACGTGAAATTTTACTAGTGAGAAGTTTAGAACTGATAAATATCTTTGAAAGAACTAGTGCTCAGACAATGGTAATATTGGGTGAGTATATATTTTTACCCAAATACCTGATAAAATGAGTTAATCTACAATATATATAGATAACTAGAGGGTTAGTTTAAAAATTGTAGATAATATATCTTACTCTAAACCGCCCTATCATTAAAATGGTTGGTTCTGACACTACTACAAAACAGGCTAGCCCCAATGGTTTAAACTATTGGGGCAGATAGTAACCCCAACTGTTGAAACTGTTGGGGCAAAAACGATTATTTTAGCAGCACCAACGGTTATATCCATTGGTGTTGATAGTTTTTTAATTTTAATTTTTAAAATATAAAAACCCAGCACCAACGATTGAAACCGTTGGTGCATATGCCAGCACCAACAGTTGAAACTGTTGGTGCATCTTGATGTACCAATGGTTTCAACTATTTGTGTTATTGTTTGCACTAATGATTGAAAACGTTGGTACAAAAACATGCACATCTCGTGCACCTTATCAGCCCCAATGGTGTGAACCATTGGGGCTGAGCTATATCATCCCAAACAATCTCCAAACCTATCATTTTCCCCCTGTATAAGTGTGTAAAATAATCATACCTAAAAAAAATAATCAACTTGTTCACAGCAATATTCTCATACAATTATACAACCAAAAACATAAATATGTCATAAAATGAATTCAAGATCCTAACATCATACGCAATTATAAGCCAAAACAAAAAATTTACTAAAATAAAATGCGAGTAGTAATTTTTAAACAACTAAGTCAATAACATAAAGAATATCTAAAATACAATGTCTCAAATATATAAAAAGTGCAAGTCACTACTAACTGAATCGAAGAAAATCGACAAAATCCTTGCGGATGTCCTCCTCGCCGTAGCCATCCCGCATTAAGCCCCTTAACAAGCCCCCAGTCGACTTGCAAGAGAATTTTGTGCTGAAATATCCTGAGGAGAATGCTGAGTAGTAGAAGTAGAACCCTAAGCAGCTAGAGAAGGTTGAGTAGAAGCCGATTGAGTAGCCGAAACGACAGAAGGTGGATGAGTGGTATGATAATCAACCTATAAAGTATAACTAATGATATTTAGAGGGCATTTTCACATGAATCTCACAAAAATCTGTAAATTAATAAATGTATGCATGTATAAACAAATCCTAATAAGGGCTTTAAATTCTCTATATGTTACTTAACGAATGATAGATCCTCATTGCAAATTATCAAGATCATTTATTTTCTAAAATTAGTAGATGGACATCATAACATATTGAATCTCCTTTCTCAATGCCTTAATAATATTAATAATATGAAGTGTTTAAGCAAATGGGGCATTGTGAACAAACAAACATTCTTGTTTATGCTCGTACTCAAATGCACATGTACTCTACGTAGATAGACATATGCACATGGTGAAATGCATTCTCATAAATCGATCTATTGGCATCTTTCACGTACTTTTCATAGTCATCTACACATTCTTGTCAGGAAGGAGGATCATCTTTAGCAAGATTGGACTCACCAAAAGCAACTTCTACCATTTCCTCCATCTTCTCTTTTGGAAACAAATTTTCTTCTTGTCTTCTTCTTCATTATCAGCAATATTAGGAGCTAGAATTTCTCCGTGATATAGCCAAATTGTATAATCCCTAATAAAACCATGCTTAATAATGTGAAGTTCTACATCTTCCTCCTTGCGATGCAGCCTATTCCCATAGTGACTGCACGGACAAAGGATCATCCCTTGTTGGATCCTATCGTGTTCACGCACAAATTTTATGTAGAAGCGACTTCTTCAATGAATTCAGGCTTTGTGCGTTTTTAATGATTCACATACATCCAATCCTTAACTCTGATATAGTCACGTGCCATACCAACCTAAATAAAGTTAAAGTTAGAGACAAAAACTCTTAGAATTATGCATGCTTGCACTAAAGGACAAAATCTGTAATCCACAAATAGCAAATTAAGGATACAATCATAATAGAGACTTTAAAATTAAGTTAAAGTTTGGAGAAATTTTCTCATTAAAAAATTAATTGATACATCATTCATGCAAGCATATATTATGAACATGAACTTTGTGCGATCTATAATATCCTAGTGTTTCTGCATTAAATTGCAAAGTTTTATATATATAGGAGGATGGATGATTCTCAAGGAAATACACAATAGGGTAACTGTAATATTTTTTTTCTTGAATATTAATTAGAACTATATGTAAACTTAACTAAAAAAGAAATGAACAATAGTTAGAACTAAAAGTTTTATGAGTAATGTTATAAAACTAATTAATGATGCGCATGAAGAAATCTAATATGTAACTAGTAACAGTTTTTGCTTTTTTAGAAAACTACGGCTTGTAGTCATTGTTTGAATTATCAATTAAGGACCCTTAAACGTATAATCTTAACTATGGCTTGCAGTCAATGTTTAGCAACAAGGAAGTAGCTTAATCAATCTCTTTTATTGAATAAGCAAAAAAAAATCTTCTCTTCTTACATTATTTGTCCCAAACATTTGTCACGGGCTTATCTCTTTTGTCTAAAGTTGACCAAGCCCAACAACTCAACAGCAATTGGCATTGCGCTGATGTCATTGTTAACAACATGTCATTGAAAGTGATTAACCTTTTGTCTTAAAGAGAATCCTAACACATCCAAGTATTTGTAATGACTTAAAGATAAAGTATTTATCACATATATGTATATGATGACTAGCAAAGTCAATTTAAATTGAAATGGGTACTGATTAGTGCAATATAGATATGCAAATTTTTTTTGAAAAGTCTCTCTGATACCCAAGTTAAAAGCATCAATTAACAATTAAACCATTGGTGCACATGCCGTTAAACCTAAGCTATCCAATTCCTTAACAATCATACCATGTTATCCCTGTGCGGTACCTTAATTTTATGGATAATATTTGCCAACTCTTTGGAACTTTCGAGTGCATGCATCCATGCTTTAACCTCTAGGATCAGACACTATCCAATTCAAGCTTCATCTAGGTTTCCCTATTAATTAAACAATACGACGCATAGTGACAATCATGCCCATTAAAACAATCATGCCCATCAATCATACCATGCCCTTTTTTATCTTATCTAAAAAATTGTAAATAGACCCAAGCAAAAAAGAGGCACAATCATCAGAATTGAAAAATGAAGAAGAATAATAATTTCTCAGATGTTTATAACCAAATTAAGCTATAGAATCTTTGGGATATCCATATCTAATTTCCAAAAGTTCCCCAATTAGGGTTAGGGTTTTGAGGTAGACTTACAAGT